ACTGGAGCCATCATGTGAGTACTGGGAATCAAACCCAAGTGCTCTAGAAGAGCAACCAGTGCTCTTAACGTCTAAGCCATCTCTCTAGCCATTGGAGGGCCGTTTTAATAGTCCTCAACATGAGAAAATCATTCTGAGTTAGTTTTATCATGAGAAAAGAAAAACCAGCAATGGTTAAGTTGTCACTAATTAATCTTTCTGCTGGTATAGAAGTTTTGAATTTCATTTATTTGTTTTCAGGGGTGTGTCTGCACGCAGGTGTGTATGGAGGCCTGAAGTCAACACTTGGCATCTTCTTCCATCATTTCTATTTCTTGAGACAGCCTCCTTTACTGAACCAATCAAAGCTATCAGTGGTTGGCAAACCCAGGGATCCTCCTGTCTCCACATCCAACACTGGAACTAGAGCTATACAGTCCTCTACTGGGGTTCTTCATGGCTGCTGGTAACCGAACTTAAGTCTTCATGGTTACACAGCAAGAACTTTCCCAACTGACCATCTCCCCAGCACTCTTTTATGTGATTCCTAGAAACAATGCCTTGTTTTACTTAAAAATAAAATACACACACGCGCACACACACACACACACACACACACACACACACACACGGAAAACTAATTAGCCAATTGCTTCGTTGCATTATTGTAGACTTTAGATAGAAAGAAACAAACCCATATATTGATCTCTTATAATAATAAACAAAATTTTAGCTTCCATTTCTACTCCAGCTTTATACGTATTTTTCCACATTTTGTCAAAATTTATTTTCTTTGTATATTTTTGCTAAGTAAACACCAAGTTTTCTTTGTCTGTATGTTCGGTGATATTTTGCTGAAGAAAATAATTTATAAGCCTTAATGTCATAAAATTTCTTTTATAGGAAATAGGACATATGCACATTGTGAAAACAATGTAAGCACACATCCAAAACTGGTAAAGTGGTTTGTTGTTATTGTTGTTGTTGGACATTTTTTTATTTGAATTAGAAACTAGCTTTCTTTACATGTCAATCACAGCTCCTTCTCCCTCCCCTCCTCCCCCACCCCCACCAGCTCCCCCAACCCCCCCAATCCCCACTCCACTCTCCAGGGAGGGTGAGGCCCTTCATGTGGGCTCTCCGAAGTCTGTTCTATCATCCAGAGCAGGGCCTAGGACCTGCCCCATGTGTCCAGGTTGAGAGAGGCCTGGAAAAGTTTTTATTAAAACCATATTTTACAAAAGATTCTAAAAAAATCACTTGCTGTTCACATATTCATTTCTTTGGTATTAATTCCAGCCAATTCCAAATACTTTCAGAGTAAAAAATAATTTTAAAAATGTTCCTTGAAAATACTTGTTCCAGAAATTCCACCCAAAGTTCCTTTTACACTTGGTAAAACTTGTGTTTAGTTTGCTAGAGAATCCCTGTGTAGATCTAGGAGCAAATGGCCAGCACGTTTAAGCACTGTGCCCTTATTTCTCCTCACAACGTATACCTAATCTTTATTATTTCTTGGAGACTTTTCCTTTTATGTGTCAAGCTCAAGCATCCATCTTTAACTGGCTATTTGTAAGTTTAACTGTACTCTGGTATATCATGAAACCAATGCCGGATATTTGCACATAAGTTTCCTTCTGCTTGCCCTTGCCTATGCCTGCAACCCGGAAGAAACATGAAATCCAGAAAGCAAAACTCACACAGTTGGCTTCATCTTGAAGGTACTGCTTAAATGCAAAGACACGCAGCCACATAGGAGTTGGAAGTCTGGCCTGAACCTAAAGGAATCTTGAAGGATTCTGAACCATAAATAATTTCCTCTAGAAATGAATGCAATTGCTGAACCCACATGTTTGGAAGCCAGCTGTGCAGCTGGGAGTTCCCTTGATTAATATCCATGGAAACTCCTCTGTTCACAGAATAGCTAAGTGTGCTAATTTGAAGCACGCCTGCATATTCTTGAAACTCAGCTGAAGTCACAGCAAACACACAGATACTAGGACAGAAAAAAAAATTTTCCTTGACAATACTGATGAATTTCAGTGCATGGTAATGACGTAAGGACTGATTAAATTTTATCCATTTTCATTAGGTTCTTTAATTCTCTGTGGATGATATCAGTCAGATTACATCCCTACTAAACTGCTCTCACTGCCTGATTTCTGGATGTCTGGGTCACTGAGGACACACAGGGTCCAGGGGGCTGTTAACACCTTCATGCATGCTTTTATGATCTCATCTATAGTTTTATCAAAGCTCTGCACCGAAGTCTGTCACCATTTCCTTCCACGACTGACTTAGTTTCACTATTACCCTGAGAACATTTCCACAAACCCCGTCATATGTCACATAAGACCTCTCTAGCAAGGGATGGTGGCTGCTTCCCCGAAACCAAGCCCTGTTCCTAACACAGCTGCTGCTATCAAAAGACTAACCCAAACATGAAGACCGATAAAGCTTGCCTCCTGCTCGGGTATAAAAAAATAAATTTCAGACTGAGAAATAGGGCTGACCTCTTGATTCCATTCCAGTGGTTCTAATGCTGTGACCCCTTAATATAGGTCCTCATGTTAAATAAGGTCACTCCCAACAGTAAAATTATATTTGTTGCTGCTTCGTAACTTTAATTTTGCTACTTCTATAAGTCAAAATGTAAATATGTTTTCCGATGGTCTTAGGCAACCCCCATGAAAGAGTGCCAAAGGGTTGCCACTCACATGTTGATAATCGCTGATTTAGATCCTACACCTGTCCCAAGAAAAGGCAGATTGACTACTTAAGCAGTTGGCTCAGACAGCAGAGTAATCTAACAAGCTGAGCTATGGTGGAGAGACTCGGTTGGCTGCAGGCATAGGCTGGGGCGGGGGTGGGAGGGTGTCACAGGTGACATAGAAGCTAAAATGCCCGCAGCGATGCAGAGACTCAACTATGTGTGGGGACTGAACTCTTTCTATCCAGGATTCCTTTGAAGAAGAAGGTTAGAAATAACTCTTCTAAAGACTGGTAATTTCACCTTTGAGATTCTTCTGTTTGTCAAAACCCCACCCAGGCACTTCCAACCTCCGTTAATCTTCCTGAAAACAAAACACTTGGTCGGTGGTTTCCAGCCTTGTTCTTTCAAGCATCAGTTTTGCATGCCAACTCCTTAACTATGGTTATATTGATCCACGTATTCTGGAATCAAATCTTAGCATAGGCCTGAGACCTTGAGATGTCCACGTCATAGCTCATTTTGACGGATTTATTTGAGGGGGTGTTCTGTTTTGTTTTCGTTTAGCCCAGGTTTGTTGCATTTTCCAGCTAAGAATACCTTCAACTTCAAGGCCAAATTCAAAGGCTTCTATGGTGTGTCTCTGAAATTAGACTTCATATAAATTACCCTCACTCTCAGGGCACAGATACCACCTCAAACCCTGCCTGGCAAAAACAAGTTCCTTGTGTAAGCATCTACTGCCAAAACGCAGTGTGGCGTGGCTGCCATCTGCTGGCAGGGTCCTGACATTACAGGATGGGCTACCATGCGCTTCCTGGCTGACACACTCTTGCCATACTTAAACTTTTTCTGGAGAAGGGGAGATCAAGATTGGCCATGAACTTTGTCCACATTGAACACCAAAAGCCCCATGTTGTTTGTGGAAGATCTACAAAGGAGTAGGAGGTTGATTTAGGTTTGTGGCAGACTTTCAATTTCTAAATACAATGAAGAAATGGGGATGTTAGGCACTAACTTCCCATCCCCATCAGCTACCAAGTCCCTGCAGCAGAACCCAGCATCATAAACCCAGGGGTAATACTGATTGGCTCAGTGTGTTCCTGCACTATGAAGACTGTTAAGAGCTGAACACTTGGTATCTTCCTCATCAACCATGACTCTAAATTCTATCTCTTTAAGAGAAGATTTTGTTTCTTAGAACCCAAATGATAAAACGTTAAGCATTGATATTTAGAAGATGAGAGATTCTTCTCATTATGTAAGCCATGCCTCTGTGTTTAATGATATGAATTGCCAATCTTGCATCAGCAAATTCTTGAAGTCAAAGCTGAACACTTGTCCCTTCATGACCCCCTTTCTTCCAACATTTATCTTTAGGGTTTGTGGAATCACACAATTGGCAGTCAAGTTCCTACTGCTGAGATCAGTGGGTGTTGTCCCTTATTTCTATGTCTAAGAATGAGACCTTGTATCATTGTGAATAGAGTACATAAAGCAGTGGCCATACACACATACATCATAGTAGGATAAAACCATCTTGAAAGAGCCTTGTTGGTATTACAAGCAACTAATTCAACACAGAGCCTCACTGCTGTACATCAGCCAAGATTCCTTTATCAATGGCTCTGGAAACAAAGATCTATGACCTTATGAAAAATCAAACGTATGTTTCAAGTTTCATGAAGTCAATGTTATAAAACAATTGAGTTTATACTTCTGTAAATATCATTTCTCCCATCCCCAATGAGTTTCCCACAACATTTGCTTTCTTAATAAAGGGCCACATATCTGTTTGGGTACTTTAAACCTAGAGACACAAATTCACTTGCATCCCTGAGTGTCGACAGCCCTGCCTCAAAAATCAAATCTATTTACTGCCCATGTTTTCAGTGCATCATCATTCTTCGTTAGCAATGGAAATGATCTGCTAAACGGTCACTGAATCCATTCTTGTCTATTGGTTTTCAATTCTTAGAATTACAACTGGAGTAATCTTTCTAAATAGAAGTATCTAGTGGTGACCTGGAGAATAAAACCCAAACATTGAGGCATGGTTTATGAGCCCTTTTATGATCTGACCACACACACACACACACACACACACACACACACACACACACACACACACACACACACAATTTATCCTTATCATCTGTGTATTCTGTATCTGTCTATGCATATTTATCTATCTTTATGGCTTTCATGCTTTACAGTTGGTCAGGCATAATCCACCAACACTCTCAACTTCTCCTACAGCCCTTGATTACTGCTACTTCTTAGATGACTTTAGATGTTATTTATCTTCTAGGTACCATATTTCTCAGGCCAATCTCTGTCTTCCAGTCAGGTCCAGAGAAAACAACATCACCTCCTCTTGGTACGTCTTCCTCACTACTCTGTTGAAATCAGCCTCCTCCTACAACTACCAAACAAATAAAAACTACCATTGTGCTTGACATGTAGCACATGTATCAGCAACTATCCGGATACTTTCTCTTCTTTTAAACTATTTCTCCAATCTTAGTACATTTGCTCTTAACTACTATTTGACCCTGTTTATTATTTAAAGGGCTTTGTTTTAGCACCCCCCCATACTGGATAATCCACAATAGCCTGAGCTCGGATATGAACAACTGTACATCTGAGATATTCAACAATAGATCCTCAGAACAGATTAACATAGGACCAGTCAATTGTAAATGAGGGTTAGGGAAAAAAACGTTTGGAAGGATTATAAAAGAAACCCAGGCCAGGGGACCTGACAAGCTAAGCCAGGACTCAAGAAAAAGGCCTGTAGGGGGAGATCTGGAGCAGAAGTTCACCTCAGCTTCACCAGACTCTGAGGGCAAGGGGAAGAGTTACCAGTGCAAACCCCAGGCCCACCTTGTCAGCAGGTGTCTCTAGTAACCCAGCTCTGTCTCTCCAGGCCATTCTGATGGGGAGATACAGAACAGCAGTAAGCATTAGTGTAAATGAATGCCTTTGTAAGAAACATCTCGTAGAGACTGTGTGCAGTAAATAACGCACAGAAGGAATCTGGAAGTAGATGTTATTTATTATTTGCTTTATTAAGGCAAATCTGAGCATTTGGAAGAAATGCCTGGGAAGTTAAGTACTTATTCAAGAATAGAGAGTAAATATCTGAGACGTCATCCAGCCAGATTGTATATGTATATGTATATATGTATGTATTATATATCATTTTTCATAACATATATGTATATGTAATACATATATACTATGTAATTCAAAACAAAAGAGAGGAATGTAAAACGCAAACACTAGACAATTGATCCACAAGAGCAAAGGAAGCACCCTGGTATCCGCATGATGACAGCTTTTCACCTGTGAATAATTTGTAAAATTGCCATTGAGGTCTCCAGGGAATTGGGTTAGTAACATCAAAGATGACACCTCAGATTTCCGAGCCTATTACACATGTGAGGTCCAACAGTTTTCACCTCCAGAGAACAAGGAAATCAAGTTCTGCCACCGTGCTAACAAATGGCTCAGTCGCCTACAATATTTAAGTTTGCAGTGAGGAAATGTACGAAGAGCTATTGGAATCACTTTGTGTTTGTCAGCGTGCTTTGTCAAAAACATTTTTTCCTATTAGAGGGAAAAGCAGTTGGAACTTGGTTAGTCTAAGGCAGTGGTCCTCAACCTTCCCAATGCTGCAACCCTGTAATACAATTCCTCATGTTGTGGTAACCCCTAACCATGAAATTATTTTTTGCTGCTGCTGTTGTGCATCATAATGTAAATATCTGTGTTTTCAAATGGTCTTAAGTGACACCAGTGAAGGAGGTCACTCAACCCCCAAATGGGTCATGACCAATTGGTTGAGAGCCCATGGTCTAAAGTCTGACCATCCTTTGACCAATTAACTGAAGCTAATTCTGCTGTCTGAATCTGCTTCCAAGAAATGCGCATAAAGCCTATCGGACATTTTCACACCTGTTACTGGTAAGATCTGGCTAATATGATAGAGCTTGGTTGTGGGATAGTTTACGGAAAACCACTTGATAATGGAGGTTTCTGTCCCACCTGTTCCCACTGCTTTGCCCCAAATAAACACACAATAACTTATATTAATTTATAAACTGTTGGCCGATGGATAGGGCTTCTTATTGGCTAGCTTTGTCTTATTTATTAACCCATTTCTACGAATCTAAGTATTGACACCAGGCTGTGGCTTACTCATAACCCAGCATGCTACTCCTTCAGCAGCATGGCGTCTTTTTGTGGCTTCTCTCTGCCTCCTCTCCCCAACCACCAAGCCTCAAACTGCTAGAGGCTCAAGAATGCTGCCCAGTATGTGTATGTCCCTACCTCAGAGCCTGAGGTGGATCTTTGTACACATGCACAGACGCCTGGGTGACCCTACCAGGTCTTCACTGAAGACAGGGTGATTTCATAAGATGCAAAGGTAGACACTCACTCTCCTGTCTAACATCAGTACCATGGTTATTAAATAATACCTGTAAAACATGAACCAGTGTCTGTCATACAGTAAAAGTCCCATTGGTATTATTTGTATTACTCTTATTACAGAGCTATTAAAGGGGAGAATTGGAGAAGCTTTTAACCGTTCTCTAAAGTTATCAAATAATTGCATTCCATAGCTAAGTTCCAGTCCACAGTCGTTTTATTTCTCAAGGTCATGTTCTTGCCAATTTTCCTGATATAAAGCAGTTTAAAGTGATCCACACAAGTCAAGTTTCTACAAAGACACAGAAGTCATGGGTCGATGACAGAGAGACAAGATAGAAGAAACACAGACATAGACAAAGATTGGCACAGGTGGAATTATTTTCAGTAATTGACTCACAAATTGTTGGGTCTGGAAAATCTAAAATCTATAAGGCAGAACAGCAGACTGGAAATTCTGGTTACATTGACCTGAAATCTGAGGCCAAAGGCAGTCCAGAGGCAGGATTTATTTGCCTTAGTGAGACCTCAGACATTGTTCTTAAGGTTTTTAATTTATTGGTCCTAGTACATTCACACTGTGAGGATAATTTGATTATCTCAAAGTCTACTGATTTAAGTGTTAACCACACTTTTCTATTGATATTTTCCATTGTGGTCATAATAAAATTTACTATCTAACTAATTTAAGAAATACAGTGCTAAGTATATTCAGGTTTTTGTATCATTAGAATTTTTTTCAACTTGAAACACTGAAGCTTTAGAAATACCTTCACAGGAGCATCTAGGTCCCAAATTCTTAAATCATGGGTCTCAATCCCCATGTAAAATTGCATAGCTGAATGTGGGGGCTTCAAAAATTGGCAATAAGATGTTTCTGAATACATAGCAATGAAATATTAACTCAAAACCAATAGGCAATCTATCTAAGGTGTTTCTAACAGCCAACAGCTTCAATGCAGCTGTGGTTTGAAGCACAATATACAAATATCACGTCAGCCCTGAACATCAGTAGGCAAGTCTTCATTCAGACTTGAAACTATTGTTATGTTATAAAGTGTAATGTTTGTGCCATGCATACATTTTCTTCCTCTTACAGAAACATAATTGTTAAAAAAAGTTTTAAGATTTTCCTGCCATTATTCATCAAATTGCAAGTACCAGGCTAGTGTATTTCTGGGGTAGATATGTCAGAAGCTTGATGTTTACAATTTTTCTTTGATTTGCTGACTTGAGTTTAATAAAGAAAAAATTAAATAAATGTTGGCTTGGTATTAGAACAAAATTTGCAACAATTTGTGCTATCAAACTGAATATACTCCAACCATTTTTACTTCATATTTATTCGAAGTGGGGTATGCAGTCTTGACAGCTATGAAATCAAATAAATTCTGAGAAAAATTAAAGGTTTTCTATGTCCTGCAGTGTCAAATATTCAGTCAATATCCAATTTTTATATAAAAATTAACAAGCATATCCATTTCATTAATATATAATTAGTTTTCTTTAATAGAATCATATGCTTACAAAAAGTTGTTTTAAAGTAAACTTCCTTATAGAACTGTTATAGAAATATTTTATAAGCACATATTATCTTGGTTGTAAAGATATTGAAAATAGAAAAGAATTTACAAAACCGGATGTAGGTGGCTACTTGACCAAACAGTGGGAAATTGTAGCCCACCTAAGCAGACACATAAAAGTTAATCTTTGACTGAGACAATAGTCAAAGAAAACACAAAAATGTGCCTATTGCAAGGGGTAAAATAGCATTACTATAATTAAGTGACATGCCTAATCATGCCAGTAAACTTCTCAATTTTCTAACATTGTTGTTCATATTCAATAGACAAGCTGACGAAGTGACTTGTCAAGGTTCACTTAGCCCATTAACAAAAAGAATTATAGAAAGTTGAAGAAAAAGAAAGGAGGGTTCTAAAAGGATTGTTTATAAATGGTTGCAGGAGTATCCCATGCATCTTTAATTGCTATTCATCCCTGAGTGTAAACAGCCCCTTAAATCTAACACAGTCCCCGAATTTCTATCATGATTCACCATCATTCTATTAAGAAGCAGAAGGTTGAAATCATGATAGAAATTTGGGAACTGTGTTTATGTACCCAAATGTTTACTGTTAGTGTTCATTTCATGAATTTTGGAGATTTTTCTTACAATCTTAATGTGACAGAACAAAGGAGCAAATAGAATTAGGTAGCACCACTCAATTAGTGGTGCTGGTGCCTCATACTTCCTCCTCTATGTTCCAGATTTGAGAGTTTCCAAGGTTTCTCAAACGAACAAGCTGGAAATGAACTGTATGGGAGATTCCAAAGGCACTTGAATCAATGGTTGAGGAAGCAGAAGGAACAGAAGCTGCTTAAGAGAGATCTGCTGCCCAGCAAGACTGATGGGTACTCCTCATGTTGTAGATTCAGAGGAAGCTCTCCTTGTTGAGGCTGAAGAAGGTGGTGCTTTGGAAAGTGACCATACAGCTTAGGAATGTGTGTGGCACTGAGAGGCTCATCAAGGCATGAAGTTGCCTCGGGCAACCTCATAATTTGGCACTCCTTCAAGTCAGTGTTTCTAAAACAGGGTGAAACGTGTATTTAGTGATTCTAAACCATGCAGAATGAAAGAGCTCTATGGTACCACTTTTAATTCCTCCTTCTCAGACCCACTGTTATGCATGTATTCAAACAAAGGCACATGCCTTGAGATGAACTGGACAATGTCCTTCATGAAATTTTTACCCCTATTTTTCGGTTAAATATTCTGTGAAATGGCTTAGCTGTTATCCTCAATGATATTCATTGTTTTTCTGATAAGAATTCTGATAGGTTATATTTTCTCTATCTAATTATCTTCCCTGGGTTGATTTATTAACCCACAACAGCCTGGCCTAGATCAAAGAAGCATAAAGTCTCGAAGATTTATGTAGTATAAGGTCTCTAGTAGATATTGAATCTTAAGTGATTGTGGGGTTAAAAAATAATGTGAGCTATGGCTTCTCAGCTGAGACAGTGATCTGCGTCTGGTGACTGAGAATGAGAGAGGATGAATATAGCTAAGAGTGAGTCCTTCAGGGACTGCCATGCCACTCCATGAAGATGGATGGAAGCTTCATAATATTCTCACTGTGTCAGCTCCATCTTGTAGGGTGGCAGTCAAATGAATTAGTCAGGACCTTCTTTGTCAGGATGGTAAACTCACCCTCACCCAAAGAAGTCTGGAAAATTGAGAATCCAACTAGAGTTGTCACAAGCCCTAAAGGAGAACCAGTGGTTGCAGGAAAATATGCAGGAATTATAAACAAAAGCTCTTTCTAAATAGCATCAACCTCCTGAACACCAAGTGGATAAGTAGCTGTGTCACTTCTACCTGTCAATCTCGTGTAGACTGGTTTACAGTTCACAACTCCTAGTGATACACAGGAGAGAATGCTGGGAATGGTGATTGCAAGTTAGCTAAACGGAGTTCCTAACAACTTACCACAGAGCTCTAAAAATTTGTCACTCTTCTTGCCTGGGCTGTCTATGAGTTCTATTATTAAAACAGGAGCTTCCTAGTGCCGGGAAATAAGAGAAAAGATGTGAGAGCTATCATCACTGACATGAGCTCAATCAAACTGCCCCAGCACACACAAGTGAGGAACATGAGACTCAAGAACTTGGAAACTTGCTGGGGTTAGCACCATTTCTCAGTGTCAGTCAAAGGAAACGGTAGCAGCTCTGTCTGTTGATCCATGTTCAGCAAACAGAGGAAGATATGTGAAACAGATATTTTCAGGTAAGTCCCCCTTTGCCTGATCAGACACAGCTCAACATTACACCCTTTCGTGATAATGGGTCACATGAGAATCCACCTGACAGTAACATACAGAAATGTTTGGAGGGGAGGTGGTTCGAGACAGGGTTTCTCTGTGGCTTTGGAGGCTGTCCTGGAACTAGCTCCTGTCACAGAGAACCGCCTGCCTCTGCCTCCCGAGTGCTGGGATTAAAGGCGGGCACCACCACTGCCTGGCCAGAATTTTTTAAATATTTTAATTGGTGTTAAACATTTGGCTAACTACAATCTAGGAATAAGTTGCACTACTTTTCTATTGGCCCTACAACAAAGTAGTATAGCAGGCAGTGTCGTAGGGTTTTATTGCTATGAAGGACACTATGACCACAGCACTTCTTATTAAGGAAAACATTTAATTGGGGCTGGCTTACAGTTCAAAGGTTTAGTCCATGATTGTCATGGCAGGAATCATGGTGGCATGCAAGCAGACATGATGATAGAGTAGTTGAGAGTTCTACATCTTGATGTACAGGCAGCAGAAAGAGACTGTGTGCCAACTAGACCTGGCTTCGGATTCTGAGACCTCAAAGCCTTCCCCTAGTGACATACTTCCTCCAATAGAGCCATACCTACTCCATCAAGGCCACACACAAATGTGCTACTTCTTGCTACCCTAAGGGGGGGTGTTTTCTTTCAGACCACCACAGGGAGTATTAAGAGCACAGTCAATTGTTGGATTCATGCTGCATAACTTAAAATATGAGCTATACCACTTATGAGCACTGCTTTTACTATATGTTCCCCAAATTATGAGATTAATTTCTTGAAAGTAGAAGTCAGTGTGTCTTTAATACATATGCTAAGTACAATGGAACTACTTGGCATGGTTTTATATAAGATGCTATTAATAGTATCTTTAGTCACTAGAATTACTTATAGTAATCAATTACCAAGAATATATCACAACTATAGAACTGAATGGAAGGAGAAAGTATTTTTTATGTCGCTTATTGGAAAGGATATATTTGTGTGACTTGTACAGAGGGCAATATGAATGAAGTAGTGTCTAATAGAAAGAGAGATAAATGTTGTCATTTTGCCTCAGTCTGCTGGGTCTCATCATATGAAGGATGTTAATGGAAATTCCTAAGCTTAGCATCATGATAAAAGAGTCGGGATTACATAACATCAAGTGTGTGTCTCTGCCAGCATCTCACCTCTAACCATTTATCTTCTTTCTATTGTTCAAGCTCTTCTCTAAAAACCCCAGGAGGTGAAGGTAGGAGGGTCAGTATCTTGAGGGCAGCTTCAGCTACACATTGACCTCAAGGCCATCCTGAGTCACATGAGATGCTGCTCACAAAAAAAAAAAAAACACTGGAAAAAATAGGCAAAGTGCATCAAAACAGCAGCTTGCCACCACTGATCTTAGCCACTGAGCCTGGCCCTTCAACAAAGAAAAAAAAATGTTGTGAAGTGGTTGAGCCCTGTCATTGACACTCAGCACACTTTCAATTATACAGATAAAAATCTAGTCCAGTGTTTTGAAAAGAGTTCCTACGGGATCTAAAAATTTTCAAATTCATGGGGCTTCCTGGGTTTCTGGATCTGTCCACCCAGTGCCCTGAATGTCTGACAGTTGGCATCAGTTTTGCATCGTTCATCTTTTCTCTGTCCTTTCCACTCCCCTGTCTTCTATCTGTAATGCTAAACTTTAGATCCTCACTCTCTTAGATGTGCATCAGTTTGCTGACAATAAAGATTAAATAAAGGTGTATGCGCTTTCTGTTGTCTATCCATTGCATGTGACTCTAAGATCTCAGCTGATTTACTCATCCATGTTCCCAGGTGATGGAGTGGACACCATGTTGAATGCCATCCATTAATGTGCAAAACAGCTCTCTCAGTCTCTTACACTGGTACTTAAATGGTTTCCCTAAACACAGCCTAAAGCAACTGAAGTATGTTTTTCCGACTCATTGACCAGAATGACCATATGTACTCATCCAACCACAAAAAAAGGGCTTGGAAGTACACTTTAACAAAAAGAGAATAAACTAGAACTACATAAGGAATTTTTCTAACAGCCAAAATTTCAGTTTGTCTAAATAGCAGCATTTTTCTTTTATTTGAAAAACTATAACCTTGAAAAGGTTGTGGCTTATTCTCTGTGAAGAAACTTTTAGTTGTAAAACACAGGATGTAGCCATTATCTGAAAGGACTCTGAAATCAGATAAGTTCATAGCATATTGATTAAAAACCTCAGATGTAAGTACATTTCAGCTTAGGAGAGGTTTTCCCCACCTTGCTGTGTGGATGGGAACCAGGGTTTCCTACATATCTGGCAAATACTCTCCAACTGAGGTATATCTTCAACCCCACTTTCAGGACAACCTTGAACTTGCTCTGTCATCCATGGAAGCTGTGAACTTTTGATCTTCCTACAGGAGCCTCCTGGGTAGCTGGGGTGACAGGTGTGGACACCAGGCCTACTCAGGGGAATTTTAATAGCCAACTGCCATTGTATCTGTTAGAGTTTGCTTACCATTGCTAATGATAAACACCATGACCCAAAGCAACTTGAGAGTTTTATTTGGCTTATAGTTTCATACCACTGCCCATCATGGAGAAAAGTCAGGGCAGGAACTCAGAACAGGAACCTCAGAGGCAGGGACTAAAGCAGAGCTAATGGAGGAAAACTGCTTACTGATTTGTTTTTCATGATTTGCTTATAGAGAGCACAGGCCTACCTGCCAAGTGGCGGTACCACCCGGAGAGGGCGGAGCTCTCCTACATCAATAAGCAATTGAGAAAATAGTGCCACACAGACACACACACACACACACACACACACACACACACACACACACGCCCACAGGCCAACCTGATAAAGGCAATGCCTCAGTAGGTATTCCCTCTTTCCAGGTAGGTCTAAAGTTTGTGTCAAGTTGATGAAAGCTATGGCATTCCACAACTCTGGCACACAAACCATTTCCTTTTCATTTCTCATGCTTAAGATTTCATGCCAATACCATATTATGAAACAGAGTCTGAAAAGTCTCACAGTCTTAAATTTCTTCAACAATTAAAAGTGCAACATCTTTTTAAATACTGAAAGTCTCCTACCTGTGAGATCCTGTGTAATATAATAAGCAGGGCATCGTGAGAGTAAAATCAAGGCAAAGCCAAGATTCAGCAGTACAAATTAAGCCCTATTGGCTCAATGTCCTGAATCTGCAGCTCACAATCTTCCCGACTTGGGAAGAATTCTAGCAGTTACAGTCACGTGAATCCCTCAGCCTAGTCAAGAACAAAATGAAGACTGTTCTCAATAACAGAATTGATGCTGTAACAATACACTTACTGAAAGTAAAACTAAGTATTTATTGTAGAAATTACTCACAAGATACCAAACAAGTAACCCAGATGAGCCAAGTAGTTTTCCCGCTGCCGAACCGGAAACCGAAATCCGGGAAAAGAGAGCAAGACTTCCTGTGTGCTGTCTTTTATGCCTTCCCCCGTAATGCCCCCTAGCCATGCCCAAAAGTGGGCCTGGCTAGTGACGTAGTTCACTGCCTACGTACATATATGTCTTTATGTCCGTCCGTATACGTCTTTAGTCATGCCTAAAGTGGGTGTGGTTAGCGTTGTGGTAAACCGCCCTTTTATTACCTCATCTGTATGTGCCTCTAGTAAGTCACATGGTTAATGGCGGCATACAGGCTTCCTCCTACACAGAACTACCCAAGAATCCATAAGGGTCAACAAAGTGCCTCTAAAAAACGTACCTGAATATGCAAAAATGAAACTGGCCTCATCCTACTTAATTTAGATGGAAGCAAACTATGCATTGTTCTTGGAGCACTCATAGTAACTACTATTCACAAATAACTTAAACTTAAATATAAACTGAAACCACATCTTAGAATTCAGTTCTTGATTTCCACTCTCCCCATTTCATGTTGAGTACACATGCATTCAGTAGCTGTTCCATTAACAC